TAAGCTGTCAAATTGACGGCTCAGTCTTGCAGATTCCAGTCCACTAAGCACTAAGTGTGTCTGTGCTGCTTTTTCTGTATGTACGTCAATAAATAGACGTATTCTATCTGTCGTTGGAGTGCCGGTGTCCATATTCTTTCAGTCTTGCAGATTACACAGGGAAAGCTCTGTAGAGTGATCAGTGGAGCTTCTCTGCCGGTAACAGCCGCCTGTATCAGGATAAAGAGCAGAGAGAGTGTCTGTCACAGAGCACCGATGATTACAGGATGTCTCCCTGTGTAATCTCCAGCACTGAGCTGTCACTCTGACAGCTTGCTCCTGCTCAGCATTACATTGCATTATAAATGAAAGCTATTGCTGTAGTTTTATTGATAAATTGCTATTATGTGTAAACAAGATGAAGATGCCATAGAATATACATCTTAAATGCACTGACACCATTTCACTCAGCTGTGTGCCCTGTGTGTCACTGCTCTTACAGAGCCTGCCTGTAATAAAAAGGTTAGTATTAAAAAAAAACATAAAATATGGGATAGGGCAGGGGTGCCCACAATTTTGTGTGTTAAGATCTACTTTTCAAATGACGAGCTACATGAGATCTACCAATGAAAAAAAACCTCCCTCTCTCTCTCTCTCTCTCTCTCTCCTGTCTGTTTCTACTCACTCTCCTGGCTGTCTTTCCTTACTCTCTCTCCTGGGTCTCTCCTTACTCGCTCTCCTGGCTGTCTTTCCTTAATCTCTCTCCTAGCTGTCTCTCCTTGCTCATCCTCCTGGCTGTCTCTCCTCTCTCTCCTAGCTGTCTTTCCTCGCTCTCTCTCTCTCCTGGCTGTCATTCCTCGTTTTCTCTCCTGGCTGTCTCTCCTTGCTCTCTCTCCTGGTTGTCTCTCCTCTCTCTCTTTCCTGACTGTCTCTCCTTGCTCTCTTGGCTGTCTCTCCTTGCTCTCTCCCCTGGCTGTCTCTCCTCGCTCTCACTCCCCTGGCTGTCTTTCCTCTCTGTCTTTCCTCGCTCTCTCTCTCTCCTCTCCTGGCTCAACTTGTTGTATTTTGCTTGCTCATTCCTTGCTCATCCTCCTGGCTGTCTCTCCTCTCTCTCCTAGCTGTCTTTCCTCGCTCTCTCTCTCTCCTGCCTGTCATTCCTCGTTTTCTCTCCTGGCTGTCTCTCCTTACTCTCCCTCCTGGCTGTCTCTCCTTGCTCTCTCTCCTGGTTGTCTCTCCTCTCTCTCTTTCCTGACTGTCTCTCCTTGCTCTCTTGGCTGTCTCTCCTTACTCTCTATCCTGGCTGTCTCTCCTTACTCGCTCTCCTGGCTGTCTTTCCTTACTCTCACTCCTGGCTGTCTCTCCTTGCTCATCCTCCTGTCTGTCTCTCCTCTCTCTCCTAGCTGTCTTTGCTCTCTCTCTCTCTCTCCTGGCTGTCATTCCTCGTTTTCTCTCCTGGCTGTCTCTCCTTGCTCTCTCTCCTGGCTGTCTCTCCTTGCTCTCTCTCCTGGCTGTCTCTCCTCTCTCTTTGCTGACTTTCTCTCCTTGCTCTCTTGGCTGTCTCTCCTTGCTCTTTCCCCTGGCTGTCTCTCCTCGCTCTCTCTCCCCTGGCTGTCTTTCCTCTTTCTCCTGTCTGTCTCTCCCCGCTCTCTCTCCTGGCTCACCTTGCTGTATTTTGCTGTGTAAACGAATATTCTTTGATGTAATACATAGCACTACAACCCCCAGTATCCACCAGAAAGGTGTCGGGGAGCTCGGCTCAGCAGACTCAGGCTAATAGGTAATCATGTGTGCACAGCTAAATAAATAGACCAACATGGAATAAAGGGGCCGCCATTCCCCCCCTTCCTGATCTACCAGCATCAGCTCTGAGAGCTACTGCTAGATCACCATCTACCTAATGGGCACCCCTGGGATAGGGTGTCCTCAAGGGGGTTGGCTTGGTTGAACAATCAGCTCTTTGTTTGGAGACGTGGATCTAAACTATTTCACATTTATTTAAAAAATTTAAAAAAGAATAAAACAAGACATTTGAACCCAGTTATATAGAGTACATCAGGATAACTTCCAGTGAAGGAGCTATCAAAGATTATACCCAGGCGTAACCCGTTTATCCCCAAATCTCCCTCTCCCCTTCCAGAGCATATCTCAGCATTATTTTCTTTATTTCCTTTACCTTGTTACTATGGAGAGAAGCAGATTGTATTACTCTCTGTGATTTTATGACTCCCTGTGTCATCACCAGGCTTGTAAAAGTCTTGCGGTGGCAGTTGTCAGGAGCTCGGTTCCTAATGACATAGGCATGTCCCCAGAACTACATTTCCAAAGAGCACTTTCCTTAAACAGAGGAAGGCTCTTTGAAGTCAAGGCTGCAGTTTTGCTTTATTGGAGAATACATTGATATACCGTATGTATGTGTAGGTAGGTGCAGTATGGCCAACGGCCACTAGATGCCCCCATGGAGCCCTGGAGATAGATGCAGCTCTGGCCTGGGGAGACTCTGTCCCAGGAGAGTTGATTTATAGGGGGCGCCCGAGAGGGGAAGTAGTCAGAGAGTACAGGAGAGCAGAAGTCTAGGACTGTTTGCAGAGTCTCTGGAGGGAGACTGTTTCTTGAACATAGGCTGGTCCATGGGAAGGACAGGACCAGGCCTAGGACTATGTAGAGCTACACAGATTCCCTAGTTTCCCCACAGGGGGAAATCCACCGAGCTAGGACTGACAAGGATGGGATTCCTGAGAATATGGAGGAGCTGTATTACTGACGATATTTGGCAGTGGGCCTCTGGCCGAAGTAAGACGTGGACTCTGGGCTGCACCTGGGCTGATGTACCTCTCTCTCTAAAGTGTAACACCAAGCAAGTAACAAGAATTGTGCCGTCATCCCACCCGGGGGTGGCTGAAACGTATACTTTGTTCTGTTTATACCTTCAAGCAAAACCAACAAAAAGAATATCTGTGTGGACTGGTTCTTCTCCCTCCAGCCTCTGAGAAGGTGGGGTTCTACAGGAGTGTGATGTTGGACTGTATCGTGGCTACAACCATCTGAGGAGGCTAGGTGTGCAAAGGGGCTATGCCCGACACAGGGTGGCGTTCATGGTGGCCTTTCTCCCTAAGGGGGAGGGAGCGCCGAATACCGCAGAGGCGGTTGAAGCCATGAGGCCCTGTGTGCGCAGTACTACACGTGTGGGAGTGTTTGCACAAGGCCAGAGCCGTGGCCCCTGACCGTGGGGTGCCTGGTTTCAAGTTGCATACACGGGGTTACCAGAGCCAACTCAAAGGGAACACACACGCAACACCCCGAGAGTTAACCCCGCCTACACGTCAATAAATAGACGTATTCTATCTGTCGTTGGAGTGCTGGATCTAAACCATTTCACCTTTATTTAAAAAGTTAAAAAAAAACAAGACATTTGAACCCAGTTATATAGAGTACATCAGGATAACTTGCAGTGAAGGGGCTATTAAAGATTATACCCAGGCGTAACCCATTTACCCCCAAATCTCCCTCTCCCCTACCAGAGCCTATCTCAGCATTATTTTCTATTTCCTTTATCTTGTTACTATGGAGAGAAGCAGATTGTATTACTCTCTGTGATTTAATGACTCCCTGTGTCATCACCAGGCTTGTAAAAGTCTTGCAGTGGCCGTTGTCAGGAGCTCGGTTCCTATATACACAAGCATGTCCCCAGAACTACATCTCCGAAGAGCACTTTCCTTAAACAGAGGAAGACTCTTTGAAGTCAAGGCTGCAGTTTTGCTTTGTTGGAGAATACATTCATATACTGTATGTATGTAGAGAGGTGGGGTCATATGCGGGGTTCTGTAGTGCAGCAGGCAGGGCTGACAATGCTGGTTGGGAGTTCTGAACAGAAAAAGCAATGTGAGGTCAACCCTGATAAGAATTAGGAGGATTTGGGATTTCTAACAGATCAACATGGATTTTCTGTACTTGAAATGTTTTTCCTGGAATTGCAGGGATGAATCATCATTTCATTCCCATGCCAGAGCTGTAGCTAGCTCCTTTTGCGCCTGAGGCAAGAAAAGAAAATGTGCCCCCCCCACCCCAACAGGCGTATGACGTCACCCAGCACAGTGCACGTGCAGCGTCATGTGATATGATGCACCCAACCTCCAGGATGTGTTTTTTTATTTTTTTATTTGAATTTTTGTTTTACTGTTGAGGGGGCTTTGGGGAAATATTAGGGGTCTAAACAGCCCCCTGATATTTGCCTTTTAACATAGAAAAAGAAATTGAGGACACAGAGTCCTCAATCTCTTTTTCTGCAGAATGTTCTAAATGAATAGAAAGTACCGAGGCTTCCCATTCATTCAGAACATATTTACTATCAAGCAGTTTCTGAATGGGGAGGAGCCTCTGTGCAGAGTGCTACTAACCATTCAGAAACTCATGAATGAACGGGAAGTGATGTAAATCACATCCTGTTCATTCATAACTGGGGACACATAGTACTATGTGTCCCCAATTATTTACAAACACTGGAGTGAACAGCTGATGGCTCCAGTGTTTGTCCTGCACACAGAGGAGCGGTACATATCACTGATTTGTACCGATCCTCCCCTGCTCGGCCACGCACAGAGGGGCAGTGCAGCCTCCAGCTTTTCCTCTGGATCCCCGATGCTCTTCCCTGCCTGTATGGGCAGAGGCAGCGGGGATCCGAGAAGTGAAGGAAGTGCTGAAGCTTTTGCCTTGAAATACACTTTAAGAACACAGCCACGAACTGCACAGGCACCAGAACTTACATGACTCACAGGCACCAGAATGTACATGATGCCATCTTTCAGTTCAGTAGATGGTGACCATGGATGATGTCTGCATGAAGATGGCATTGTCCTACTTGAGAGAAAAGCAGATAAGGGCATTACCTTGAGAGCTAACAAATACCTGGCCGTGTTTTACATTAATTAGCCTGCCTGCACTTAACATGGAAACTTTATCTGCTTCTAGATCCACTTAAATAAGAGTATTGTAATTCTATATCTATTTCTTCACAGAGAGATCAAATGTCTGATTTCTACATACGACTGTACAAAGACTCAGATTATAAAGTGGCCAGGCAACTATTTAACTCTGGAAATGCCAAACACACGAAAAAAGCCTTTAAACATGCGATGAGACAGCCCCACATCTGGCCCCCGCTGCTGGCCCTCCTTATTCTTCCTGCGTTAGACATTGTGTCCTTTACCACCTCTATCTTTGCAGTGGTGGGGGCCATTGTTTTTTTGTGGTTTGCCGCCTGGCGTATGTACTGGTCTTATGTCCGACTGTGTTTTCTTGATGACATGCTGGACATAAGGAGGTACTACTTGGAACAAGATGGCCGTTGCTTCTGGGTGGCGGAGTCTGGAGGACAGGTGGTTGGGACAATAGCAGCCAGTCCTTCTTCATATCCCGGTGGAGAAAACCACGTGGAGCTAAAACGACTTTCTGTGTCTCCCAGCCATCGCGGTAAAGGGATCGCCAAAGCCTTGTGTAGGACCATGATTGACTTTGCCCGGCATAGAGGCTGCAAGGCCGTGGTACTGACAACCAGTTTAGTCCAGAAAGATGCCCGGAAAATGTACGATAAAATGGGATTCAGATTGACGCACAATTTTTATCGGCCAAAACCTTTCACAAAGCTTCTGGACTTCAAAATCTTGTTCTACCAGTACGACATCCCAAAACTCCAGTGACGACATGTACCCAACAGAGTCATGCAACTAAAACTGTTATATGTATTGTATTGTCATGGACATATTGTTATCATGTCTTTAAAAAATTCTCCTGTATCCAGATTACGGTGTAGCTTGTAGTAGTATTTTGTCACATTGATGTCAACTTCTGTAGTGTTGAAGACATCTTGCAGCCTACCCAAGCAGCTTCTTCAGTTCAGAATAAAAACATCTTCAGCATTACAGAACAATTCACATTTGACAAACTTCAACTAGCTATTTGGGGGTTTTCTATCAATAACATTTTTGAATAAAGATGTACAGTACACGTGTTCCATCATTCTACTGTTTTCAGAAACAGAAAGGAGGCCTTAAAAGAAAGAAATACAGTCCCTACAGTCAAACATGGGGGGGGGGGGGCACTGATGTTTTGGGGTTTCTTTGCTGCTTCGGGCACTGGATGTCTTGACTGTGTGCATGGCATTATGAAATCTGAAGACTACCGAAGAATTTTGGGGTGCAATGTAGGGCCCAGTGTCAGTAAGTTTGGTCTCCATCAGAGGTCCTGGGTCTTACAGCAGGACAATGACCCAAAGCACACATCATAAAGCACCCAGGAATGGTTTCAGACAAAGCGCTTGAGAGCACTGGACTGGCCAGCAATGAGTCCAGATCTGATCCCATAGAGCACCTGTGGAGAGATCTCAAAACAGCAGCTGTGAAAAGGAACCCTTCTGAGAGACCTGGAGCAGTTGGCGAACAAAGAGTGGTCCAAAATTCCTGTAGAGAGGTGTAAGAAACTAATTGGTGGTTAAAGGAAGCCATTGATTACAGTTATTTTTTTCCAAGGGCTGAGCTACTAAATATGAATTGAGGGTGCCAATAATTTTGTCCAGTCCATTTTTGGAGTTTTGCATGGAATGTTTCAGGTTTGGCTTTTTTTTTCTCCACTTTTTTGTGTCATAACAATACAAACAATAGAAATAAACATGAGAATGCCAAAACATTTGCAAAATTGTAATTGCAACAATTTTCTGCGTGAAGTGGTGTATTATCTGACAGAAATGCAGGGGTGCCAATATTTTTGGCCATGACTGTATATACTGTATATATATATTGTGTATACACCTGGCAGTGTTATCTATCATTCATATCTATACATAACTGTAAATCATTTCCTACATTGTATATAATATATTACAGTGTATAGCTTGGCCTGTTCCAAAGGGCAGGAGGCTGCACTATAGGACAGAACTGAAGAACAACTTAACATTCATTAGCTCAGAGCTGAAGAACCATTTACAGTCTATCAGCAAAGACCTGTAGAACCATTTACAGTCTATCAGCAAAAACCTGTAGAACCATTTACAGTCTATCAGCAAAGACCTGTAGAGCCACTTACCGTCTATCAGCAAAGACCTGTAGAACCATTTACCATCCATCATCACAGGGCTGAAGAACCACTTACCATCCATAAGCACAGGGCTGAAGAACCACTTACCATCCATAAGCACAGGGCTGAAGAACCACTTACCATCCATAAGCACAGGGCTGAAGAACCACTTACCATCCATAAGCACAGGGCTGAAGAACCACTTACCATCCATAAGCACAGGGCTGAAGAACCACTTACCATCCATCATCACAGAGCTGAAGATCCACTTGCCATCCATTAAGACAGAGCTGAAGATCCACCTGCCATCCATAACCACAGAGCTGAAGAACTACTTACCATCCATAAGCACAGAGCTGATAAACTACTTACCATCCATCATCAAAGACCTGTAGAACCACTTACCATCCATCATCACAAAGACTTGAGGTAAGTTCTCTAAACAATCTGTGTAGCTATAGAGTAAGTCCATCCAAAGCTCAAGTTTTAGTTACGGGTGAATGCTGGATATGGGAAAACCTCCCCACTATCTCTAGGAGACCCTGGCAAAGAGCCTAATGTCCCAGGTTCACTCATCCTCTGGGATTTGGACAAGGTTATTCATTTTGTATTGTAGTAAGTTAGTTTTCTAGGAGGAATACAAACATGATGCCGGAACATAAATAATTCAGCTGGGAGAATGAGACTCGCTGAAATATTACTTTTGGTTGGACTCTCCTGATGGGTGTCTATTAAGTGGCTCAGATCCTTCTACCAAATTTCCTGTTCCAGTCCACCTGGGAGTTTTGGGTTTTCCCGACCACCTAAGTGTGTTCCTCGTCCTCCTGTTACATTCTCCATAATTTTAAATATAGATAGCAAAGATGGTGGGAGCCCCTCATAATGGGTACAGCAGGTGTACAGACCCAGGAACTCAGCCTAAGGATGGTGGGAGCCCCTCATAATGGGCACAGCGGGTGTACATACCTGGGAACTCAGCTCAGGGATCGTGGGAGGCCCTCATAATGGGCACAGCAGGTGTGTAGACCCGGGAACTCAGCACAGGGATGGTGGGAACACCTCATAATGGGCACAGCAGGTGTTCAGACCCAGGAACTCAGCACAGGGAGGTTGGAAGCCCCTCATAATGGGCACAGCAAGTGTACAGACCCCGGAACTCAGCACAGGGATGGTGGAAGCCCCTCATAATGGGCACAGCAGGTGTACAGACCCCGGAACTCAGCACAGGGATGGTGGAAGCCCCTCATAATGGGCACAGCAGGTGTACAGACCCCGGAACTCAGCACAGCGATGGTGGGAACTCCTCATAACAGGCACAGCAAGTGTACAGACCTGAGAACTCAGTGCAGAGATCTCACTAATAGAGTCCCTAAGAGATAGCAAAAACACTAATGGGGTTTAACTCTCCAGCATCCACCAACCATAAATGACCAATTCTGGGAAGGATCACCAAACCTACAAACTGTGAACAATTAGAAGTTTTCAAATGCAGGTGTAAAAAGTAGATGTAAACCCTGAAGTTGTCCAATGAACAGGGCACCATAAACAATTGAATTTTTTTAAATAAAATACTTGTTTTCATGTTTTTTTTAAATAATTTGTGTCACCTCAAGGCTGCTGATCTCCTGCAACCTCTTCGCAGCCACTTTATGTCTACTTACACTCCAGAATGGCTGCACGACCTACCTAAAGGCAGTTTCCTGATGGTGACAACAGTGGACTGTGCCTGCGTAATGTGTGCTGAAATGGTCGCTAGTCTCCATTGGAAGATGCGTGACAGGGTGACAATATAAGAGCATAACTGGGAGCCAGGGACAGAGCGTTGTCACCCTATAACAGGAAGTGCCTGTTTATTAGTGAAAGCGGCAGATTTAAAATATTTCAAATACTGAAAATGATTTCTGAAATGACATTATCATGTTAAATCCTATATGAGATTTTAGTGATTGAATTTACACCAATCTTTGGTTTAAATGGGATTTATAGAGGTGTAACCCTCCATCCCCTCGGATTCCCAGCGGCTATACCAAATACAATTTTTACATGTGGGTGTGACTCCGATTGCATGGCCTGCAGCAGCTGGCATGGGCATGGTCATAGGCAAGGACAACCAGACAACTGCCATTATAGCAGCTTGAAACCTGAAATAGTTTGTTAGCTTATAGGCCAAATGCATCTAAAAAACAAGCAGCTATCTTCCAGGTCATTTCCACAGTATGTTATATGTCTTCCACAGAGTTCTCCTTTAGCTTCTCATGAAGATGTAGAGTAGACGAAAGCACTAGGCCTCATGGAATCACACGGTAGCGCTTCCCCCCTGAGGAGCAGCTGGAATACCCGTGTCATCCATAGCCTGTCTAGGGCATTTTAGCAACCAGCTGCCCCAATAGCATTGACCGCCCTCTTCTAGTGACCGACCGAGCTAAGATCCAGGCCAGAAGTATGATGCTGACGAACTTTATTATTAACACAGCTGGGCCGGGCTGGGAGAGAGGGAATGACTACAGCCAAGGCCGGATTTACTCTCCCTGCCGCCCCAAGGCCAGGTCCTGTGATGCGCCCCCCAGTCTACAGTGATCACTGCAGTCAGAGACTCGGGACTCGGCGGTGGAGGACGGAACCAGAGGAGAGAGGTAAGTACAGGGGGGAGGGGAGGAGGCGGCACACTGTTTACATGTGATCTTGGCGACATCGCCGAGTTCACATGTAAACGAACAATCGGCTGCCTTACTCTACATTTAGCTCGGCTTGTACAAAGCAGGACTAAATGTAGAGAGGGCAACTTCCCCACAAGGACACCGCTGCCGCCCCTCTGCGACCTGACCTCACTACATTTCCAGTAGCCACTCCCCTAAAGGTAAGGTGGTATAGGGGCTACAACACTATTGCCTATTGGGTTCTGTTTAGGCAATTAAAGTTAATGTAATACAACCAATGTCTAAAATGACCCTGTTCAGTAGAGCATTGAACCACCCTTGGCCCCTGTAGTGTTTGTTTTCCATACATTATGGTGGTGATTCCTCGTGGGTACTATGGTGCTTTGGTGTGGGTGCAAACAGTTGATTGGTGGATGTTCTGTTCCTCTAACAAGACATCGCTTTCCACCCTCATGGCGGCACTGTTTACTAGCCCTTTGCAAATGCTTTTGATAGGATAGGTGTGGTCAGGGCCAGATTTCCCACAAGGCCAACCGATGCCCGCCGGGGGGCAGCAGGGATGGGGAATTCCTATCTCCTGATGCCCGAGACATGCAGTTCCGGGCGCCAAGCGGGTAGTTGTTTAGTGCATTTAGCCCTGCTTTGGACAAGCCGGGCTAAATGTAGAGGGGGGGGGAAGCCGCCGCTTGTTCTGTACAAGTGATAAAAAATATTTTTTTAAAAATTAAAACCAACCCTGCCGCCCCGTCATCTAGGGGAAATTTGGCGGGCAGTGGGCCCATTAAGGAACTTGGCCTTGGGGCAGCAGAGATTGTAAATCCGGCCCTGGATGTAGTACTCCTCCACCTTTCCCACCACATTTCCAATTGATGTTATATCCCACATAGCAAAGTATATGATATTGTGGGTGCTCTGAATTTGCTCATTGTTCTTAGAAACTAATGAAATGGTTGTTAGTTGTACTGTGGCTT